CAATCAGTTTAATTGGGGAAATAGCTGAGCGAGAGGTGACATCAAAGACGGAGGCAAACGGCCCAGCGCATGCAATCACCCAGCATCCATTGCTGCCTCTGGACAGGGCCGTGCGTCACGGTGGCTGAAGTGGAAAATGTGAATCGCTCACAATGCCTTGTAATGCAGAGAGAGGTCTTTGTGGCCTGCCAGACTGCATCACTGTGCCCATTTGTCTGGGTGGTGTTTTTCATGTTACTTTGGGGGTCATGGAGCTCTGGCATGTGACTCCACAGCAGCAGCAGCAGAGATATTTATCCATGTCCATGTGTTGGAGACATCGTACGAAACAATCAGCAACTTTTATGGTTTCAGGAGCCAGATTCTCGTATGTCACATTCTCCTTGCTTACATCAAGGTAAAGGCAAGGTCAGACCAGACCACTTGTTTGAGTTCCACTTACTGTATAATGCTGTTCTTTGTAAATGTGTACAATACACACTGCCATGTAACACCGTATGTGGGTGGGAAATTGTCACACCCTGCATGTGCGTTCAAAGTTTGTGAAATTTAAGTGCAGACTGGAGTCTAAGCTTTTTCCATTTTTCTGAAAGCAGAGCTGATCTTGAGTTAGAAATAATTGGTTATGTTTAACCTTATAGCAGTATTAATAGATTTTTTGGGCACATCTGGCACATTATCACCTTATAAAGGTCATATGGCTTACATGTTATCCATATGGGAAGCAGGTTCCTATTTAAACATCCTGCAGACACAGAGTCGTATTTATTTGCAGTCATGTGTCCGGCTAGTTCAATATTCACTCTCCTTGTAGTTTTGTTTTACTCTCCACCAACCTTTTGAGAAAACTATCTTGCTCTTAAGCTGCTAATGCTCCACTTTACCCCACCACAGAATCTGACTGGAGTCCGACTAGCGCTAAAGCTCAGCCCCTGGGGAAAGGCTAAGTGTTTTTAAAAGACTTTCTTCATTAATAATCGCTTGTCCCCGTCTGCGTTAGTTTGTCTGTGTTAATTGTTATTAATGTTAGTTTTAGTGCAGCAGTTCAGCCACCCAATTACCAGAGTGGCGGGATTGTCAGATCCTCATATGCCGCCCATGTGCACTCTTAAAATAGGCTGTATTTGTGGTGTAATGTGATTTTCATGTGAAGTGCATTTTCCTTGTTCAAGTGCCAGAAGGGGATATAGCTACCTATGTCTTACATGTGTGCTGTGGTCGGCTTTATACTCATACACTTTGGTATAATAAAGATTAATCTGTTTCAACAAGCGTTGGTAATTCTTCTTCCTTTGAATGATGTAATAATTGAAATGTTCTTTGCTATAGGCCTGTCTACCTTCACCAGCTAGTAGCTAACGTTGTCTGTCTGTTGTTTGGGCTGGTAGTGTACAGTGGTAAAAACAAGTGCCTGCTGCTAAGGAAGCAAATTGATGAGAGCAATGAAACCAAAACACTAAAGTCATGGGCCATGAGCATGAGAGCCACGCTGCCATTTTGGGCTGGTGGCGTCATTTACAGCCACGGTCTACGCAATGGAAATCAGATTTTGAGCTGCGGTATCAAGGTCCTGCCTGACCCAATTGAAAGCAAGGTTAGTTGTCAATCGTGATATGAACGTGTTTTTATAGCATCAATTAACTAATTAAAACCAAACTTTTGAGATAAATTAAAACTTAAGCATAGATCAGTGTGATAGGAACTACTTACCTTAAATGACAGCAAACATCTTTGGGAAAAATATATTTTGTCCCATCTGCTAACATGGAGGGGGCGGGGTTTATGACCTACACTGCAGGCTTCACTTTTTGAGGAGCTGTCATGTCCATTTTTACAACTCAATAGGTACAATAAATGCAGTATAAACATAAATACTGTTATGGTGTCTGAAGCAGTCAGAGGTAGCCAGAGCTCTGTTTTATTACATTCATGGAAATTCAGCGAAATTGTCCCAGAAAACTGTGATAAAATAACTTCAAAAATCTTAAAAGGAGCCACTTTATTGGCCTGGACCGCCTGCCACCAGAAACAGCAACCCTGGTAAGGTTTTCACTAATATAACAACAAAAGACAGCAAATGGATAGTTCCAGTCTCACACAAGACTTGGCATAGCTATAACAGTGGCTCATTTCCAGCATATTAATTTATGGTAAGGTACCAGAGAAAAAGTCCACCATAATACTCTGTTAGCACTTTATGAAATGTTCCCCGGTGTGTGCAGTCACGCACCTACAAGGTTGTAACAACACAATGCAAGTGCAAACAATCACATTTGCACGCTTTGTATGTTAAATCAGATTAGATTCAAACAATTTACATATATTAAACATGATGCAGGTCTTGCATACTGAATGCTTGCTTTATTTGTAAATGGCATGCATCCAAATGTAAGGCAGGTATTTCACCGTGACTTAGACCAATAACTTTCTCTCAGAACCGATGTTCTCACTGGAGATACTCCACATATGTTTGTATGATTCCACATTTTTATTTTTTTTGCACCTCTTGCAACCTCAGCCACCCTTGAACCCCCCCCCCATTCTACCTTCGGAAATCAACAGCAGGAAGACAACGATGTCAGCAGACAAGACTGGTGCAGAAAATCCATCTCCACCCCATCTTTCACTCATCAGCCATCACCACGTGCAATGACCTAAGCAGAGGCTACACAGGTCAAGACCACGCTGTCCGTCTCTGTTACTCTGTTCATGAATAAACAGAGGCCAGTGTATGGGTGTGCGTGTCCGTCAGGGCGATTACACGCACACGAAAACGCACACACAAACGCTCACACACAGCCTCGTGCCGACTCCACTGGCATAATTAGAAACATTTGGGATCATTTGCAAAGGGAACACGAGCTCTGATGGGATCCAGATGCACTACTGGGTTTCACCAAAATACAGGAACCCTTATTTACGAGGGGCCATTACTGGCTCCTCACCCAGGGAGGTGTGTGTGTGTGTGTG